CATTGTATGGCCAAACAAACAAAGACATTTTTCCAAAATATCTTTGGTGTTCCACCAATAAAACACATACTTATGACTGCAAATATGAACCCTTCAAGAAAAACTGTAATTAATAAATATGTTTAAAATAAACTATGTACCTCTTTCAAAAGGTTTCACATCTGTTTCTACTTTTTTTGTCGACAAAAATCTATGAAAGCATGGTAACACTTTAGTATAGGGACTAATTCTCACTATTAACTTATTTTATTAACATATTGTCTGTTTATTAGTACTTATAAAGCACATACTCTGCATGACCATATTCTACATCCCTAATCCTACCCAATACCTCAACTTAACAACTACCTTACTAACTATTAATAAGCAGCTAATTAGGAGTTTACTGAACATGCTGAACAGATGAATCCAAAATAATTCCACAAAAACTTTTTTTTTCTTACTTCTCTAGCCTGACTGTCCCATGTCTCAATACTCAGTTTTGCACAATGGCATTCATACATGTAAGAAAATAGAAATATGTAAATATGAAGAAAAATCATCAACATTTAATCTTTTTTAAAGCTATTGGAAAACAGTAATTGGGAACATTTTCACAATTTCCAGCACACACCCACACACTGATATACAATACAATACAATACAATAAACAATTGAATGTAGTGTTTGTTGGTGTGACATATTTTTATGGTTAAAACACACACACACACACGTCTGGTCAGCTATCCTTGTGGGGACTCTCCATAGGCATAATGGTTTTTAACAATATTCAGAAGAAGAAGAAGAAGAAGGAGCACAGATACGTACATACACGCCTACCTAATAATAGTAATACAAAAGTAAGATAAAAACCGACGTCTATGGACAAGTGAATTAAGACAGAAAAATACGTAAGAAGGCTAAATGTACTAAAATAACTAACATTAAAGTAGTCTATATAGCTAGTATCAAAAGTACAGGTACATTATAAGAATAGCCTACGGCACAGCTGATTGTATCGACGGCAGCCTAGTTTACTCACTCATCTCCTCATGTCGTTACAAATTCTCCTTCTGCAGAAGGAAAATTAATTTTGGGTGTAATCCTGGTAACCTTGATGTTGTTCATTGTTAGATTTTTTTTTTTCGTAACAATGCTAACTGTGTTTTGTTTTTATTTTATATTTCATCATTTTTACATCAAGGTAAACAAATGCTTTAAAAGTATTGTTCAGTCTTATGTATTGTGTTACCGATACACTGAATAACAAGCAATCATACAGTAGACAGACCATACAATATGATGCATTTTACAAACTAATACACTAAATAACTTTTAATCACTGAATAGCAAAAACTAGCCTAAGTTCTCTTTTTCAGGCTCATGGCGTCTTCATTGGAGATTGAAGTGTGAAGATATAATGTGAAGTGTGAAGATATAATGTGAAGTGTGAAGATATAATGTGAAGTGTGAAGAATGTGGGGGTGAGTATATCGTTGGAAACACCGTATTAAAAATAAAAATAAAAATAAAAAGGTCGTGGTTACGATCTAGGGCGCCCCCTACTTCTAGCTACACGAAATGCGTCTCTTTTATTTTGTATATATCAAAATACATGTATATGACAAACACTATACATGATATAAACAATAAACATTATACATTAAATAAACAATTTCACACTAGAGGGGCTGTATACAAATAAAAATGTATATAAAAATATTAAAGCGTTTACAAACTTTCACCGTTTTATTTGCTTTTTGTTCCATAGAAAATCGTATAGTATCAATATAATGCTCCATTTCCTTCCTAAAAGAAAAAAAAAACAAGTTTTTTTGCATGAGAACTTACATTTGTGAATATGAAATTTTGCATGTAAAAAAATAAGATTTATCATGTAAACGTGACTGTGCTTTTCTTTGCTGTTATCCAATATACCAAATAATACATCTTTCCATAACAAAACAAAATGATGATCAATATTTTGTACAATAAAATTACATACATTTTGCCAAAATAGTTTTACGAAAGGGCAATGCCAAAACAAATGTACCACAGTTTCAGGGCAACTGACACAAAAGGAGCAACTAAAATCAATATCAGATTTAAATTTGACCAAATAATATTTGGCTGGGGTAAATCCTGTGTATAATTTTGAATGATACTTCCTTAACCTTGTTTGTAATTAAATATTGATTAGGTATTAACCAAACCTTTTTCCAAACAATATTGTCTGTCAGTTGATTCCAATATGAATAAACATAAGGCAAAGACACAATGTCTAGTTGAAATAAAGCTCTTACGGAACTGTTGTGTGATTTAAGAGAGAAACAGATATAAGAACTTATTATATTAGGCAGAGACCACTGTTGGATGTTAATTCTTGTCTGATGTTTATCAATATTCCAAGATATTGAACCTCATTCTTTAAGGGAACACCATCATAGCTAGTTTCGAGACATTCCTTTATGGCCATAAGCTCACATTTAGTCAAATTTAAGTATACCCCAGATGCTCTTGAAAATTCGCCAATTAGATCAACTGCCACAGATATCTGATTCTCATTTTGAATAAAAAGTATAGTGTCATCTGCTAATTGTGTCATTTTTATCTCTCTATCAACAATAGTGATACCTCTCAGTGGGCTTGATTTAATATGAGAGGAAAGAAGCTGACTTACTAACAAAAAGAGGTATGGAGATACTGGGCACCCCTGCCTAATTCCTTTAGAAATATCAAATCTAGGGGAAGTACCGTTAAATAACTTTATAGAACAGTTGCCATTTTTGTAAAGAGTTTCAATTGTTGTAGAAAAAAAATTACCAAAATCAAATTTCTTTATAGAGTATCAAGGATAAACTGATGTTCTATAGAATCAAATGCTTTACTAAAGTCTAAAAAATAATATAAAGCCATTATCATTAATCAGATCTGAATATTCCAAAATGTTCAAAACTAATCGTATATTATTTGTTATGTGCCGATTTTTCATGAATCCCGATTGTGATTCATCAATCACTGAATCCAAAATTGTTTTCAATCTTCTAGCTAAAATTTGGGCCAGCAGTTTATAATCATTATTTAATAAACAAATAGGGTGCCAATTATCAATATACTGTCTGTCTTTATTTAGTTTGGGAAGCAATACAATTAAACCTTGTGTTAAAGTGGGTGGAAGACACTGTTTTTTGATGCTTTCAACAAAAACCTCTAAAAGAAAGGGAGCCAATTCCTTGGAGAATAATTTATAGAACTCTGATGGCAAACCATCAGTACCTGGTGATTTGGAATTTTTCAAATGATTAATTGCATCCATCAGCTCGCAAATTGTAACAGGTCTATCACAATGTTCCTTTTCAGTTCTATTAATAGGTTTAATCTGCAACGAATTCAAAAAGGCATAGGCTGACGCCTGAGAGTAACTAGATGTATACAATCACGAAATGCGTCTCATTTGAGCGTTCGAAAATATTTGTGACGTCATGTAAGCGCTGGAATTCTCAAATTCAAATTCAAACAGCTGTATTGTTTATCCTGTAAGAACAGAACATTGTTTTTAAGAAAACGACATACGTGAAGTTAAAAATACAGTATATCATTAAAATATATTGGTACTAATTAGTGCTGCCAAACGATTAATCGCGATTAATCGCATCCGAAATAAAAGTTTTTGTTCACATAATATATGTGTGTGTACTGTGTATATTTATTATGTATATATAAATACACACACATGCATGTATCTATTTAAGAAAAAGATGTAATGTTTATAGGCCTATTTTAAATATATTTATATATAATATAAATTATATTAATATAAATATATACATGTAAATACACGTAAATATTTTCAAAATATTTACTGTATGTGTGTGTATTTATACATACATAATAAATATACACAGAACACACACATATATCGAGTGAGTAAAAACTTTTATTTTGGATGCAATTAATCGCTTGACAGCACTAGAATAATCTGATGGCAAACCATCAGTACCTGGTGATTTGGAATTTTTCAAATGATTAATTGCATCCATCAGCTCGCAAATTGTAACAGGTCTATCACAATGTTCCTTTTCAGTTCTATTAATAGGTTTAATCTGCAACGAATTCAAAAAGGCATAGGCTGACGCCTGAGAGTAACTAGATGTATACAATCACGAAATGCGTCTCATTTGAGCGTTCGAAAATATTTGTGACGTCATGTAAGCGCTGGAATTCTCAAATTCAAATTCAAACAGCTGTATTGTTTATCCTGTAAGAACAGAACATTGTTTTTAAGAAAACGACATACGTGAAGTTAAAAATACAGTATATCATTAAAATATATTGGTACTAATTAGTGCTGCCAAACGATTAATCGCGATTAATCGCATCCGAAATAAAAGTTTTTGTTCACATAATATATGTGTGTGTACTGTGTATATTTATTATGTATATATAAATACACACACATGCATGTATCTATTTAAGAAAAAGATGTAATGTTTATAGGCCTATTTTAAATATATTTATATATAATATAAATTATATTAATATAAATATATACATGTAAATACACGTAAATATTTTCAAAATATTTACTGTATGTGTGTGTATTTATACATACATAATAAATATACACAGAACACACACATATATCGAGTAAACAAAAACTTTTATTTTGGATGCGATTAATCGCTTGACAGCACTAGAATAATATGTATTCAAAATATATTCAGTTAAGTGTATTTTGCAGATATTTTAGTGTATCTATTTTTTATATCATTTATTTCTCCTCATATATTTTTCAATAATAGAAATGAGTTGCTTTTCCCCCCACTGTTTTGATGCTAGACACACTTTTTTTTCCCCCATGAAGTACATATAAAATGTCAAGGTATAAAAAAAACTACAATGTTTCCAAAATATTATCTAAAATATTATTTCCACAAATTCCTTATGTAGGCTTTAGCCAGAGTAGGTTCATTAAAAAAAAATAAAGCTGTCATGATTTGAACAAGCGTGGAGATCAACGTCTACATTCCCTCCTGGTCCCTCAACTCCAAAATAGTTTCCCTATGAAAACAAAACACAAATCAGCATATTAAAAAGTCTACAATAACACCGATCATTACACAGCATAAGCACTGAATGAACACACAGGAAGTCACAAACCTGAAAGCTTTCGCTTGTTTCTGGAACATTCTCAGCTTCTCAATCTCTTCTGATAGTTTCCTAAGATCGTCCCCTGACAGGAGATCTGACAGGAGTTTTCTGATAAGAGCTGGGTCTGTGTTTTCAGGAGCCTGATGGAATCGTGCTCCTGTTTTATGGGCCAGACTCTTCAGAAACTCACTGCATGCTCTGTTTAAAAAATGGTTGAAATGATAAATAGATTTTAAAATCACTTTACTGCACATACTGTAACATACTTTCAATGCAACAAGTGTTTTTGATATAAGACACAAAGTAAGCGTTGTTCATATAACATCTGTTTAGTTGTCTGTAGTGTATACAACAGAAAGCTGCATAAAATCTGTGTTCTGATCCCATCTAAAAGTGTTTTTTATTTTTTTGAAATGCAGTCTGAACAGATGATATTAAGGTAACATTATGAGCTGGCTGATAGATGAGGACTTGTTGAAATTGCTGGAATGCTTTGAATATAAATATATTTATTCATTAAACATATCAAATATGTTGCTAAAACCACATTTTCCGGGATTGGGACCAGACAATAAAATCGCCAGAATAAATATGCATACAAATCTTGACCAAGGATCAATACAAATGGCCACATTCATATGCAATGCAGCATCAGAGTTGACCTGTCATATAAAAAAAATACATATTTTCAGTATCATGCCAGACTGCACTGTGCTTACATTGATCAGGACACTAGGGAATATGGCGCAGTATTTCGCAGACACTCTCTTATGGACGGACAGCACCAGTTTGTTGTGATGGCAGCATTCGGGTCCAGATATCAGCTTGTGAAGGTCCAACTTCAGATTCTTGGTACCAAACCTTTTTAGCCACTTAAAGAATATAAAAACATAAACACTGACTTAAAACAATCCTTTGCTCTATTGTTGACTCCCGTGTGTAATGGTCACAGGATAGGAGGATCCTATGGGCTAAGGTTATCAACTAGAACAAAAAAATTGCGATTTTGATAAAAAAAACAAAAAAAACAATGGTGCTGGAAATGCAGTATAGTACCTGTTTAGCTGAACAGATGTCTTCATGTTTTGGTAGTTTAATAGTGGTGATAGACGTACACACTCTATTTGGTTTTGGATATTTATTGAAGACAACACCTAGTTAGGACAATCAACACTATATGACACAATATGAGCCAGGAATCAATATGTGTGGATCTCATGTGTTCATATATCTGGCTATGGCAAGACAAACATGGCAAATCTATTCCCACTAACCCAAGTTGCCGTCTTCCATGAAGAAGACAGACTGTGACACGTTGGTTTTCCTCTGATCTGCAGACCTTGACAGCCGTGCCGATATCAGCTGATTGGACTATAAAAAAGACTAATTAAATGTTCAGAAGAAAAAAAAATAGGAATGCATCATGAGTCACATAAATAGTCCGGCATTTAGTCTAAGAGGCAATCAGACTGAGACAAATATAGACACTGACATGCTTTCAGAATCTGACGTGGACAGAATGAGTTACTTGGAGCAATATAAAACAAAAGTAAATATATTTACATATATTTAGAGTATAAATGATGGCAAATAGAGAGCATTTGGTATATGATCTCTAATAATTACAGTCAGGATGTTGATAAGACATCACACTTGGTGGGATATCTGCTTTAGAGCTGTTCGGCCTCCAAGCCCAGCCGTTCTGTGCCAATCTGCTCTTCTGCCTGCTTTCCTGTTCACATCAGACATCATGATGAAAAAGCATTCATTATGAAAACATCTTTCTAATAAATCTTTAAAGGGATAGCTCACCTAAAAACAGTGTTGCCAAGTTTGCGGTTTTCCCGAGGAATTGTGCTACTTTAACACTGTTGCCGCAGGTTGTTTTTCATGTCCGCGGGTTAAAGCGACTCCAATAACATGATATTTATCCCCTAGAAATGCGAATTTTAGCATTTAGAATTTTAAAAACATGTATTTTACCCCCCGGAACACGATTTTTAACTGGGGACCCCCTCGAAACGCGATTGGGATAGTTTTGGGCTAGTTTTGAGTAGCAACTGGGCGGGTTTTCTTGTGAAAACCTGGTAACCCTGCCTAAAAATGTCATTCCAGACCTGTACAGCCAGTGTTGGGGAAAGTGACTTTTAAAAGTAATGCATTACAGTATTGTGTTACTCCATAAAAAGTAACTAATTGCATTACTTAGTTACTTTTTATGGAAAGTAATGCATCATGTTACTGAGCCGGGCTTGCTTATTTGTTTTTAATAACAAAAATCCCAAATGTTGTATTTTTGGCAACTGTAAAGGCCCTTTCACACCAAAAGTGAAATGAATAAACCTCAGGATGAAGGAAATGCCTCTGCCTCTGCACTTACTCCTGATTTCTCAGACCGGGGACAGGAGAGCTGAGCCAGTCAATAAATAGGAAAATAAAGTAACTGGCATTACTTATTTAAAAAAAAGAACTCAGATACTTCACTGTGAATTTAAAAGTAATGCACTACTTTACTAGTTACTTGAAAAAAGTAATCTGATTAGAAATGCGAATTTTAGCATTTAGAATTTTAAAAACATGTATTTTACCCCCCGGAACACGATTTTTAACTGGGGACCCCCTCGAAACGCGATTGGGATAGTTTTGGGCTAGTTTTGAGTAGCAACTGGGCGGGTTTTCTTGTGAAAACCTGGTAACCCTGCCTAAAAATGTCATTCCAGACCTGTACAGCCAGTGTTGGGGAAAGTGACTTTTAAAAGTAATGCATTACAGTATTGTGTTACTCCATAAAAAGTAACTAATTGCATTACTTAGTTACTTTTTATGGAAAGTAATGCATCATGTTACTGAGCCGGGCTTGCTTATTTGTTTTTAATAACAAAAATCCCAAATGTTGTATTTTTGGCAACTGTAAAGGCCCTTTCACACCAAAAGTGAAATGAATAAACCTCAGGATGAAGGAAATGCCTCTGCCTCTGCACTTACTCCTGATTTCTCAGACCGGGGACAGGAGAGCTGAGCCAGTCAATAAATAGGAAAATAAAGTAACTGGCATTACTTATTTAAAAAAAAGAACTCAGATACTTCACTGTGAATTTAAAAGTAATGCACTACTTTACTAGTTACTTGAAAAAAGTAATCTGATTACGTAACTTGCGCTACTTGTAATGCGTTACCCCCAACACTGTTTATAACTCAGTGTTTTTTGGCCAATACAGTGAAAGTCAATGGTCACCAAAACTGTTTGGTTATCAACATTCTTCAAAATATCTTCTTTTCTGTTCAGCAGAAGAAAGCAATACAGGTTTGGAATGGCATGAGGGTTCTTAAATGCTGACAAAATCACTTTAAGTGTCCTACTGAAAAGACCAGTTTAGACCAGCATGAATCTCGAAGATGGTTTACATAGTTTGTCATTTTGAACAACTTCATTTAAAGCTGCACTTAAACAGCACATATCAACCAAACAAACTGTTTGGTCACTTTGCATGTCAGACAGATGGTCTATTCTTGTTTAAGTTGAACAGGACTTCTTGAAAAGTCTGAAGTCTGAATGAAGCGTGATGAGAGCACCAGCACACCAGCATCCCAAACACAACGCATGCTGATGACCAACAATAATAGCAGATGGCAGTTTTGCTCTGCGAGTCTAGGTCTGGGGTTTAATGAATGGGGTTCTCGTTTCTCCTGAACCCCTGTCAGAGCCCTTCTGGATCAGAGAGTCCACTAATTCAGAGCACTGCAGAAAAAAAAAACATGGATGAAAGTCCAATATATGAAGCATTACGTTTATGCTATATCAGAAACAAATACAGAGTTCTGGCATGAAACTCTAGATGGCGCAGTCCGATAGGTCTAACTCAATCTGACCTAATGAGATCATTATCACATGGCACAGCTGATCTCTCCTGAAACCAGCTCATGACCAGCTAAGGACCAGCTTAACCCAGTTCAAACCAGCAGCCATGCTTCAAAACATACCTAACCAGCAGGGGCGTAGATTACGCGGGGGACGCGGGGGACGTGTTCCCCCCACTTTTAATATCATGTAAATTCGTCCCCCGCACTTTTTCGGGCAAGTGTGTTCGCATAGAGGTTTTCAAGAGCTGGTGTGAATAAATATAGATTTACATTCAAAGAGACAGGATAGTCTCTGAACCCAAAATATTTAAACAGTAGCATATCTAATAAGAAAGCAAACAGCCTCAGTCATTCATTGATTTACTGATTTCACTGTGGCTTTAAAAGCAACTGGACTTGATTGAATAGATGGCGGCGCAGCTCGGATTCGTAATGAAACATCTTCAGCAAATCCAGCTGGTTTTGAATGAACACAAAGTCCTGGATGAACCTTTCTAAACATCAACAACTGATAATTTCTTGCAGGTGTGCTTCCAACTTTTCCTCGGGTTCCCATGAATTATTTAGACACCGTGGACACAGGTCAACGTGTAGGTCATGTGAGAAAATCGCAGTGCTCTAAACTCACCTTCTGAAAATAATTAGCGGCCGTCTCCATTTCTGCAATTAGGGCACTGATGTCATCACTCCCCACGATGCCTGCAGGGAAAGACGAGGCAGTGGCTCATATTTTCCACTGCACACACACACAAACACAAGACTTCCCATTGTAAGCTGCACTGGGTTCAGGGACCATGTGTTGTACACATGACAGAGACAAAAGCAGCACAACATCGGAGCTCAAGTAAACAGCCGCTCTGGGGACTTTTACACATGACCTCAGAACTGTCTCAAAAGCTGAACAACAAAATAAATCTTCAAATAGATCTTTAAACTAAAACTTCTTTTCACAGTAGTTCCTGTAATTCTGTCCTACCTTCTACTTCAAACTCATCTTTCCCAAAATGTCAGTGACGTATCACTCAGACACTCTCTTCTCACCAGTCTCAGTCATCCAAAGGAAGCGTCCGTTGCGGGCGGTTTCTGTCCGGGTGGTGGGGCGGAGGGCAGCGGGCAGTGTCCTCCTCTCTGGTGAACAGGCACACGTGGAGATTCAGGTTTGTTGCGCTGCAGTGCTCAGATACATAAGCAGTGACAGAAACCTGAGAATCAGAGTATGAAAAACACTGTGACTGCTTTTTGATAGTAGCTTGCAGAAGAAAAATGTGATGATACATCTGTATTAAAATACAGAAACTGCATCTCGGCCTATCCTAACAAACCATACATCAATTGAAAAGCTTATTTATTCAGCTTCCAGATGATGTATAAATCTGTTTCAAAAAATTGACCCTTATGACTAGATTTGTGGTCCAAGGTCACATATGAGTTTTTATAATGTCAATTAATTTGTCCAATAAAAATATGTATTTATTTCCATGTTTATGTTTGAATAACATTTATACCAAAACATTCAAAACAAATGTCTCAAATGTCTCCAAAGAAAAGTCCATCCCCTGTTGTCCTCTCACATCAAAATCCACTGACATACTTGTTTAGAGATGTTTTTGACTGTGCATATTACTCTCCTAATTCAGACGCGGCGACTTTTTCATTGGAGAAAGCAATATGGAAAACTCATCTTTTACTCGGAAGCAGTGGTTTGAAGATTAAAAACATCTTAATGATGGATTTGTTCATTACAAACACACAGCACACGACGGTAACTGGTGGACTGGAGTGGTGTGGATTACTTGTGGATTATTGTGATGTTTTTATCAGCTGTTTGGACTCTCATTCTGACGGCACCCATTCACTGCTGAGGATCCACTAGTGAGCAAGTCATGGAATGCTACATTTCTACAAATCTGTTCCAATGAAGAAGCAAATTCACCTACATCTACATCATGCATGGCCAATCATGAAAAGTCTTCCATTGGGCTGCATTCAAAAGTTCTATATCTCCTAACTCCAAAGAGTGGCACCCAATAAACAAATAAAAAAAATTATCCTGTAAACTCCACAAAATAAGAGAATGCCACAAGAAATGTGATGGCCACTAGACAACAAATCCACATACTGTGCACTACGTGTGACAGGACCTTGGCTCGCAAGTGATTAAATTAATTTAGGGACAAAAACAATTACTAGAATGAAATACACAACTGAAATAGACTAAGTGAACACAGAATGAAACGCCTAAAAATGGATTGACTAGTTAATTTTCAGAGACCTGATTGATGTGATTTCAGTTATTTGTATTGAGTTTTGATAAAACTCTGATCTGGTAGTGCAGTAGCAATAGCAAACACCACTAATGAAAGGCCTTTAAAAACAGAAGGAGTTAGAGAAAATGAGAAAGAGAACAACAGACTGTGAAGTCAAAAGCGCATCCTGTCCTCTTACTGCCAAACAGCTTGAAGGTTTTCATGGGTGGAGGGAACCATCTTCTCCTGCCATGACTTGACATCTGATCCAAAACTGTGATGAACATTGACAAGATCACATACAGTATAGTGAATGTGGCAGCAAAGGATGGTTAAAATAGACATTAAAATGAACCTCAAGTCAATGCTCTTATACAAGCTAACTGTTAATGGCTATTTATTTCCATTCTCATTTACTTTCTATTTATATACAATCAAGTCATGGAAATACTTAAAATTCCAACACAAGCATATACATTTTAAAACAAAGTTCTGTCATGACAACTCTCGGAGGGATTGAAATAATCCCCATATAGCATACATGAATCACCTCGTAGCAGATCTATACAGGTGGGGCTGGGGAAGGTGGAGGGTTTCTGAAGCAAGCTGCAACTGCTACGGCAGCACTAGTCATATATTTGAATGTTGAGCAGCGAGCTCATTGGCTACCGATACAGGAGAGAACCAATCAGCTGTGCCATGTGATAATGATGTCATTAGGTCAGATTGAGTTAGACCTATCGGACTGCGCCATCTAGAGTTTCATGCCAGAACTCTGTATTTCAACAAGGTCAAAGAACATTAATGACACTTTTAATAGCACACGATGTGTGTATGTAAATGTGGCTCCGCCGTACAAATTGAGATTAATTAAAAAACAGGTAACCGGCTGAGTCATGTGACATGATGAAATGCTCTGGAGTGAAGCCGTGCAGCTGCTCTGCAGTATTAAGAGCAGGTATGTGCGCTGCGCTCTCAGGCAAAATCTATTAAGACTTCTATTTATGCCAGACTAAAGTAGATCGCTCATGACTATGCTAAAACAGGAGCTGACAACTGCTGAAGACTGACGATAAATGGTACAGAGGCTTTCGACTGGGCCATTACTGCCTTCATTTCCTCTGTAACTGTGTGTGATGGTGCAAATATGACTCTGTTATTAATAAAGGACACCGGCACTGCTTTGTGAAAAGCAATTTATGAATGTGATGTGTTTGTACAGGCACATGTGCTGTAGAAGCCAATTCAGTATACCCTTGCAAAATTACACTTTTAAAAATAAAGGTCCCAAAAGGGGGTTTTCACAGTGATGTCATAGAACAGGGTTCCTCAAATCTTGCCCTGGAGGGCCAATGCGCGGTAACACTTTATTTCGATAGTCCACTTTAGACATTCTATTAACAGTAAGTAACTTTGCAACTACATGTCAACTAGCAGTTAGTAGAGTATTAGTAGACTGTCTGCTTAATGTCTAGAACCATTCTTGGTTCCCCAAAGAACCTTTCAGTGAACAGTTCCAAAAAGAACCAGGTTTTCTTAGTGTGAAGAATTGATTAATCTGAAGAACCACTATTGTGAAAATAAAGAGCTATTATTGTTAAGAGTGGTGGTAACACCATAGTACTTTGCAAAAATGGACTAGGACTTCAACACAGCCTGACACTTGTACCAGCTGAATAAAAACATAACGCCTGCTGTATTATCTAGTTCTCATATATACATAGGCCTATACATTTTTCGAAACTGTTGACTATGTTGCCAGGATCTAGCACAGCAGCTTACATGTTAATAGGCCAGTCAGATGATGTCAGAATTTTTTCTCCTAATAAAATCTTTGTTTATTTACTTGGTATCTAAATGTGGGATCGACAGCTGGACCATAAGTTGACTAGTCCACTGAGAAAAGTCCCGGTCATTCCTGCTTGTACATGCACCTGAATCTGAACTGAAAAGTTTATAATTTGCATTTATATGAGCTGTTTTGCACTAAATTTAAAATAACACGAACATATTGTGCCAATTTAATGTATAGATGCAAATGTTAGTTTTTGTAGTGTTCCTTTTTCTGCAGACCAGACTGGACTCCCAATGAAAAGACGACACATACACTACCATTCAGATGTCTGGACACACCTACTAATTCTTTAGTTTTGATGTTGTTCATATGTTGGGATTAATACCACCATGAAAACTTTATGAAAAAAACAAATGGATGTATGGGAATGAAATGTTAAATCAAAGCAATCGCTACCATTTGCGTAGATTCAAGTTTTCCTTTTGGGAAATATGCATTACTTTTATGATGTCTGTATGAACCTTTTGAAGCTTGAACGTTTTGGTGGAATGGATTTTCAATGGAGGAACAGAAATCTCTCAGATATCTTAATTTGTGTTTTGAAGATGAATGGAAGTCTTCGGGTTTGGAACGACATTAGTAAATGACAACAGAATATTCACTTTTGGGTGACCTAATCTTATAGAAAACTGTACGTTTCAGTTTTCGAAAACTGTAAATTACAAATCACATTTTATATTTATATAGAGAATTGCACTACTTAAAGTAATTAAGCATAAAACATTAGACTGAAAGCTTTTTAGGCAAGTGTGTCCAAACTTTTGGCTGGTGTAGGCTATATAGAGGAAAATCTCAAGATATAAATGACTTCAAGAGCGAAAGAGACAGGAGACTTTAGGACTAAATGGCATAGCAGATCATAATCTGTCACACTATAAATGAGTGAAAACACCCCGACGGTGTGTTTGACCTACACGATGATATTGAAGCTGTGTTTGTTGGCCAGCTGCTCCTGCAGTAGTATTCGCAGGGCGTGCTGGAGATGGAGCTGGTAGTGGGCGTTCATCCCAGACATGTCCAGAAGAACCTGCACCCTGCATGGAGAAAAAGAGAAAGAGCAACTGAGGCACACAAACACACTCCACATCCCTGCATCCTCCTGGCCCAGCAAAAACATCAGCGTTATTGGATTTCCACCAAAGTTATAGGCTGGAAAACAAAGATCAATATGCACTAATACTTAAATTTGTCTGACAAGAATAAACATGGTTTGTGCTGACCACAATGCATTTTGTGTGGTGTGCTTTTCAATTACTGGCTGCTGAGTGCATTTAAAAAAAACATTCAAACTATCGAGACAGCAATGCACACTTCTGTTGTTGTTGTTGTTTTGTATATTCTATGGTTTATGCAGTTCTTGGGATTATTAAAGGGGTCATAAACTGATTCCCCTGATCTTTTAACACACTGTATAAGAGGTGATTCTGCTATAAAAACATCCCAACCTTGTCTCATGGCAAAAACGTACCCGGGGGCACATTTTCGCGAGACGCGCATCCTGTAAGTTTCAGAACTCAAGACTTTCTCATTAATCTAAAAACAAGCCAAAAAGACAGCTTTAGGAATGTTCTACTTTATGACATAATAGTGTGGCTAAACACCGCCTCTGCAGAAGAAGATCAATGCCTGCTTCTACATCACTGCCTGTTTAGCCCCGCCCACCGATTTGTGCACGTAGTAGGTAAATGACAAGAGCGGCAAACGCAGGTCTATACAGAAACCAAACGATAAAGATGCTCCGAAGACAGCAAGACGTTGTAGTGCCAAGTTGTGGAAAAACAGTGTTTGCATTGCATTCCTTCTACAACAAGTGGAGTTCCAGTTCATAGGAACCAAATGCAGTATTCACTGCTGCCTAAGTGTCTGTTGACAAAATTGCTATGCTAAAGTGTAATTCCAATTTTATGCTAAAGCGTGCTTCTTTTTCACTAGGGATAATGTATATTGTTCCCTGTGCCATCTACTGTGCCCTTCAGAACATAAATACTCCTTACTATTGTGAAGTCCACTTTGCAGGGTGCTGTTGAAATAATTGAAACATATCTTTACTGTCTAAAGGTTCTCACCTCTGCTCACACACGGTTCCCCATATCCTGTTCAGCCACTGAACTCTCCTTTCAAACAGACGCACAGCACCCATGAGTCGCTTCCGCATGCCACACATGAAAGACAAAATAAAGTGAAAAATAGAGAATGTCACAGATTTTAGACTGATGGAGAAAAACATGCAAACTCCATTAAAGTGCAACTTTGTATTGAACAGCACACATGGAAGTTGTGACAGCTTTCAGTTAGGTAAATAATACAACATTCATTAATGTTGAGTGTTCAGGTTTAAAAACATGCATTTGGAGGAATTTTTGAGAGCAGCCTAGTGGCTAATGCAGTCTTCAAGTATTGAGGGAAGGCATGAATGACCAAGTGGAAATGAGTTTCCTTTATAGTGCTGACATTGGAAGGGACGTGTCCACATCAAATATGGTGGAAAGCAACTCTCTAATAGAATGAAATTAATAACTGAGAAATCTTCAGTGCTGTATATCAGTATAAAGGCCCACACATGACATGCTGAGAAAAAATA